ATGTATATGTACATATGTCTTGTAGCGAGTATGAATATACATATTTTACTGATGGCAAATGTAGGAAATTAAAAACGTTAAGTGTAACACACATACATACATACATACACAAGGGTATGCACGTATGTACATATGCAGCAAAATCAGTATGTTTCAGTGATTGTTATTTGTTGCTGTAGTTTTAACCGTTTGCTAACGCGCTGGCTTATGCATGCATACCTATAAATTATATACATTTATGCAGCTACATGTGATTTGTGTTAATATGCAGTACGCAGAGGAAAAATTTTTCAATCATCACATGTTTGTACACGTTACGCGCTTGCATGGTTGTGTTCGTGTGTGTCTGTTTTCATACACGTTAATATTTTGTTTTTAATTTTTATTTTGCTTGTTCGCTTCTTAGTTGCTTTCGACAATTTAGAATCTTTCTTTTTTTTGTTGTAGTTCGCTAATAAAATTTTTAACGCCTATTTCTACTTACATAAATATTATGTTAAGTCGCAATTGCACGTTGCATTTTTATTACATTTGTTGTAAACATTTATTTGTTAATGTGATATATTTTTATAATCAATTGTTTTTATATTAAATTTTTTTTATATTCAAGTCATATTTTTTTATATGCTATTTTTTTTATTTATATATAATATATATGTATGTATATTTTTTAGATAATATTATTTTTTTATCTGCGTCTTGCGTGACTTCYAAAAATTTAATAATTAAATGTCATTGCTGTAATTGTTGTTGTAGTAAACGTAACCAATATAAGTTAAGAAAAAAGAAGGAGAGAGAGAAAAAATGAGACAAAAAAGTAAGAAAAAACAATTTACACTGTTGTTTCGTTTTGTTTGTTGGTTTGATTTGTAGAAAAAAAATTTTTATTATAATTGATATTATTTCGTTTGCCTTTGTTTCATTAAGCGCAAATTAGCAATGAGACGAATTCAATTGTTGTTTCATGTTTATATACTAGTATTAAAATCTTTGGTAGAAAAGTGCAAAGAGACGTGTTGCTACAATGCATGTAAAGCAGTGCTTTTGTAGTATATACATACATACATATAATACAACTGCGAAAAAAAATATATGTGAATAAAGACTAAAGACGAGTTCGGCACGATGAACGGTAAATATGCTTTGGGTACAAGGGACTATGCAAAAGTGTGTTCGTATGAAATTGAGGTTAGCGTTTTATGGAAATAATTGAAGATTCAATGATTTTTTGARCACGAATTTATGCTAATGACGCTTCTAGTGAGGTTTCTTTTTCGGTATATGGTTGATATGTTTGAAGAATGTCGCTAAAATATACATATTTTTGAGATTTTTTAAAATTTGAGTGGATTGAAAAATGTTTCTAAAAAAATTATTTTTTAAGATTTTAGAAATACATATGTATGTGCCAGAGATGTTGATGTTTACAACTCGTTCTAACCAACATTTTCGGTTTATGGTTGATGTGTTTGAAGAAGAAGTCGCTAAAATATCTTTATTTTTGTGATTTTTCAAATTCGAGTGGATTGAAAAATGTTTGCAAAAAAAAAGATTTTTAAAAAATTTCGAAATACTAGAGAATTGTTGATGTTTATAACTCGTTTCGAAAAAGTTTTTCGGTATATGTTTGAAATGTTAGAAGAATGTC